TAGAGGTATGAGCGCTTCTATTTATAATAATATATTATTATAAATATGATACGGAGTATTACAGAAAGAAAAGGGAGAGATATGAGATATGAAGAAAAAAGTCGCTTGGATATTATTGATTGGTTACATTGTTTATTTCTTATTGTTTTTTTAATAAAAAATAATAGTAACAAAAACAATAATAATAAAGTTTTTTGTATTGTTATATTCAAAGTTTACACTTTTATTTTTTGTTTGTACTTATTTAATAAAAGTATTTATGTACATCACAATTATCAACATAAATTATATTTCAATCACTTTGTTAAAGTTCATTCCAAAAATTTGATACAATCTCCGAAATTTTTTATAAAAAATGAGAGGCCAACAGTTACACATTGTAAAAATACAGGTTTGTACTCTAAGTCATAATAACTTTAATAACAAATAGAGTATCACGTTCAATTGATAAACATATTGAGTAAATGTTTTAATTTTGATTTCGGTAAGATAGTAAGTTAGGGAATTTTTACTAAATTTTCAATGTGCAATTTTAATGAGAATCAACACACATTTTAATTGGTACAATAAAAGTAATTGTTTATAAGATGATTGTTTGACCTAACTTATTCCAAGTAACAATTTAAAATATGTTACTCTGATTGTGTTTTTTTCTTAGATATAACCCAATTATAATCATCAAGTTTTCTTTAATAAGTTATTAATTTTTTAAAAAATGATTGAACTAAGATATTCGCTACAAATATGAAACAATCAAGGGACTGCTTTTTAATAATAATTTGTCAAATGATTACATTAAAAAAATATTGAACATCAAATTAAAAATAAAATAAAAATTATTTTTAAAAAATTAAACATTAATGAACACAATTGATTGTGAATTATTGAACTATATTTCTTTTTTATATAATAAAACAAAAATAATTTTAATAAATGTAGTTAATTGAAAGTTATATATTGTCATTGTACTCTAAGATTATATAAAATTGTACATTTAAAAAACATAAAAAGTGTTAAGATATTGAAAAAATTAAAAAGTGTAAATTTATTCTTGATTTTATTTTGATATTAAAACAATGATTTTTATTGTTATGATCATTTATTTGTACTTTAATTCAACTATTTAATCAATATAACATGATAATAAAACATCATAATAGTAATTTGTGTTGTGATAGATGATCACATA